CCCCATTTCTGATGAAGGGTCTAGGCCCGAAACGTCAGCCTTCCTGCTCCTATGATGCTGCTTGGCCTGCTGTGTTCATCCAGCTCTACACCTTGTTATTTTACATAAAATTTGATCCTGTTCTTCCTAGCAGAACTGATCAATAAAAAAAATACTGCTTTCAGAAATATAATGCTTTCAAAAACATACTTCCTATTTAAAAATGAATGATTCCATTGATCAAGGACAAATTAGTGCAACATTGAGCAACTCTTGCATCTGGCAAAAAACCCAGAATATTCATTTGAAAATAATGGAGTGCAACCGTTTATTAAAATTTTACCTAAATGTAGAAATTGAAAATTTTGTGACTCTGCTATTGTTGGGAAAATAACGTAACCATTTGAAATATAGTAGAAGCATTCTAGAGCACTTGAAATACATTACTAGAAATTTACTTTTCAGTCTGATGACTAGTCATTAATTGACATAATTGATTCCACAGACATGTCAAAGAGTAATCAGCTATCGGGCAGTCAGTAAAATATCAAAGCTTCATAATCTGAGCAAAGAAATATGCACAAAGTAATGGATAAGATAAATTTGACAGGCTGTAGTCAAGCTAATTCAAAAATCTGCAATCTGACTAAAACAAGATAATCTGAGAGAGGTAAATTTTGTTAATGCTTTCTTACCCTTCTTTATTCTGCAGATTTTGGGGTTGCTCACTAACTGAATTAAATGACTCTGAGAACAGCTTTGGTGATGTAAGTGAAACCCTCTGCGAAGGTGGTGGGGAGCCTGGCACATCACTCAAACTGGAATCATTGAGGTTTGCAGAAGTTTCATGAACATATGCCTGGTCCAGAATTCTTCCTTTGGCACTTGTTTCAAGCACATTTTTGTGATTTTCTTTATTCAATAAAGTTTCTCTTTCTGTGAAATCATTTCCTTTCGGTGAGAAACTTTCTTGATGTGAACCAGGTGACAGAGTCTGTAGTTCACTCAATGTTGAATCCCTGGAACCATGCAATTTAATCAATTCACTGCTGCAATCTTTTTCTGCTTGTGATGGCACTTTTTCAGTTAAATCAACCTCTTTTCGTCCTCTGGAGTACTTGGTTGCAACACGCCCATCCAGTTCAGAGTCTAAGGCTATCCCATATTTCTCAGCCAGCTGTCTCCTTCTTTCAGCCTTGTATTTTGCTATTCGCTCTGCTTTTGCATCTAAAGCTTCAGTATCCATACCAGCACTGTAAGGAGATTCGGCATCCATCTGCTTAACCTCTCCTCGGCACCTCGGTCGCGACTGCCTTTCTGAAGGAGAATCTTCAACCAGGTGATGTTCCAAGCTCTCCTTATTTGATCTTCTAACTGGAAAATAAAAAGTACACTTACTTATTAAAAAAAAAATCCTTATCTATTTTGACCTCCAAATGCCATGAGCCATTTCAGCCAGTGAAGGGCAACTTAGCTCGGGTTTCTACCAACTCTAGTCTATAAATGGCCTCCTGCAGCAGCTTCCCAGTGTGGCGTGTGACCAGCACAGTGTATATGCCTGGTGCCAATTGGAAGCTACAATGTCAGTGTGGTCTGCTGTACTGAACTCTTTTCTGTAATGCTGGACATTTTATTTCTAAAATCTTATAACAAAAGAAGTTGTGCTTAGGTACTTTTGTATCTAAGTCGGTGCTGTAATTGGCGACTTATAAACCTTTCACTATACTCACCGAGTATGTGTGACAATAAGCTATTCTATTCTAATTGTGTTTTGGGACAACTCTCCCTCCATTTCTTCCATTGTGGAGAGATATTGAACTTTATTCCATACTGTACTAATCTTAATCACTTTACATGGAACTGTGGACATATGCCAAAACACTATTACTCCCATTAACAACTTGCAGAAGTCCAACACATTAATTCTACAAAACGGGTGGCAGCATGAAACATTGTAAACAGTGTGTTTATACTGTTACTTTGGTCAAATTCTCAAAATAGAAAACAGAAATTACACCACAGCATACTGCCATTTGTCCCGTTAAATTTACGGCAGTACCAACTACATATCTGGTGCTATGAACACTGAAACATTTCCCTGTGTTCTTTTAATGTTGTTTCTTATCAAATTATTTACCAATTATAACATCTTGAGCATATTTTATCTTGCTTTATTGAAATTGTAGATTGAAATTGACAGATACAATGTTGTGGGTATCACAGAGATATGGCTGCAAGGGGATCAGGACTTGGAACTAAATATTCAAGAGGACAGCCAGATAGGCCGGGGGGAGGGGGAGCAGGGTTGCCTTGTTGGTAACAAATTAAATTTTATTGATAGCAAGAAGTGACAAAATCTGTGTGGGTAGAGTTGAGGAATCACAGATTTAGGTACAGGTCTCCTAGCAGTGGTCAGGATGCAGGGCAGAAAACATACATGCAGTAAAGAACTATTACAATAATCACAGGGAACTTCAATATGCAGATGTACTGGGAAAATCAGGTCTGTAGTGGATCCCAAGAAAAGAAATTTGAGAATGGTCTGTGAGATGGTTTTTCTGGTAGAGCCCACTAGGGAACAGGCAATTTTGGATTTGGTGATGTGTAATGAGGCAGACTTGATTAGGAAACTTAAGGAGAAGGTGTCCCTAGGGAGCAGTGACCACAAAATGATAGAATTTACCCTGCAGTTTGAAGGAGAAGCTGGAATCAGATACCTTTACTTAATTGCAATACCGTTGTAACTGTGAAGACATGAGGGAGGAGCTGAACTGAGTTGATTGGAAGAGCAGCCTAGCAGGGAAGACAGTGTAGCAGCTTCGGCAGGGGTTTCTGGGTGTAATTCAGGAGGCACAGCAGAATTTCATCCCAAGGAAGAAGAAACATACTAAGGAGAGGATGAGGCTACCATGGCTGACAAGGGAAGTCAGGGATAGCTTAGAAACAAAAGAAAATACACACAGTTTGGTGAAGATTAATGGGAAGCCAAAGGTTTGGGAAGTCTTTAATAAACAGCAGAGGACAACTGGAAAAAGCATTAAGGGGGAAGGAAATAAAATATGCGCAAAGTTCGATTGTAAAATTTAAAAAAAGTAGCAGGAGATTTTTTTAGAAATCTAAAACAGTAAGAGAGAGGCAAGAGTGGAGATTTGATCACTGGAAAATGAGGCTGGAGAAGTAGTAATGGGGAAGAAAGAAATGGTGGAGGAACTGAATAGGTACTTTGCATCAGTTTTCAAAGTGAACAATACCAGCAGCATACCAGAACCTGAAGAGATTCAGGAGGCAGAAGTGAATGCAGTGACCATCACTAATGAAAGGCACTAGGGAAGCTGAAAAGGTGGATAAATCACTGGACCAGATGGACTACACTCCAGGGTTCTCAAGGAAACAGCTGAGGAGATTATGGAGGCAATGGTGGTGATCTTTCAGAAGCCTCTGGACTCCGGGATGGTCCCAATGGCTAAACGTAACACCCCTGTTTAAGAAGGGAGGGAGGAGGAGACATGAAATTATAGGCCTGTTAGTCTGACCTCGGTTATCGGTAAGATTTTTCATAGAATCCTTTACATAGAATCCCTAGAATATGGAAGCAGGCCATTTGGCCCACTGAACCCACACCAATTCTCCAAACAGCATTGTCAACCATGCCCACTCCCCCTACCCTATTCCTGTTAGCCTGCATCTCCCATGGCCAATCCACCTAGCGTGCACACCTTTAGACTGTGGGAGGAAACTGAAGCACTTGAAGAAAACCCACATAGAGGTAGGGAGAATGTGCAAACTCCACACAGACAGTAGTCTGAGCGTGGAATCGAACCCGGGGCCCTGGTGCTGGGAGGCAGCAGTGCTAACCACTGAGCCTCTGTTCTGCCCCTTCAAGACTATTATTAAGGACGTGATCGCGGAGTGCTTGGAAATATGTGGTAAAAGAGGACTGAGTCAGCACAGCTTTGTCAATGGGAGGTCATGCCTGACAAATCGGTTATGATTCTTTGAGAATTTAATGAGTAAGTTCAACAAAGGAGAGCCAGTGGACGTGATGTATTTCGATTTCCAGAAGGCCACAGGTGGCTGCTAAATAGGTCAAGAGCTTATGAAATTTGGGACAAGGCATGGATAGAGGATTGGCTGACTGGCAGAAGGCAGAGAGTGAGATAAATGGGTCTTTTTCAGGATGGCAGATGGTGAGTAATGGAGTTCTGTAGGGATCAGTGTTGGGACCACAACTATTCACATTATCCATTAACGATCTGGATGAAGGAACTGGGGGCGCTGTTGCTAAGTTTTCAGATGACACAAAGATAATTTGAGGTACAGGCAGTGTTGAGGGGATGGGGAGGCTGAAAGAGGACTTGGACAGGCTCAGAGAGTGGACAAGGAAATGGCAAATGGAATATAAACATAGGACAGTGTGAAGTTATACAATTTGGTTGGAAGAATAGAGGCGTAAACTATTTTCTACATGGGGTGAGGTTTCAGAAATCTGAAGCACAAAAGGAACTTGAGTCCTAGTTGAGCATTCTCTTAAGGTTAACATGCAGGTTCAGTTGGCAGTCAGGAAGGCAAATACGATATTATCTTTCATTTTGAGATGGCTAGGATACAAGAACAGGTACTGCTGAGGAGCAAATTACTGCAGATGCTGGAATCTGAACTGTAAACAAGAAATGCTGGCAATCAAAGCAGGTCAGGCAGCATCCACGGTGAGAGAGAAGTTAACGTTTCGAGTCCAGATGACTCTTCATCACAGCTGCAGTGAAGTGTGGAGGGGGCAGCATTTATGCTATAGTTTGAGAGGGGGGGGGTTGCTGTTAGGGTAGTGGGTGTAGTGTGCTGGTGGAAAAAGATGTGGATAGTTCAGATTAAGTGATTGGAATGTGAGAACGGCAGAACAATGGTATGACTAACAGCCAGACTTGAAAGGGCAGACAGTCCTACTGGCACGGGGCGGGAGGGGAGACAGGACATGACAACAGAATGTAACAAGCTAAAAGAAAGGGAAGAACGGGGAATTGGTTCACAATTCGAAGGTGCTGAACACAGTATTAAGTCCAGAAGCCTGTAAAGTGTCTCATCTGAAGAGGAGATGTTGTTGCTCCAGTTTGCGCTGTGATTCACTGGAACACTGCAGCATGCCAAGGGTAGACAAGCAGACATGCAAGCAAGATGCGGTGTTAAAATGAACGGCTACGGGAAGGTCGGGGTCATGTTTATGCACAGACAGCATGTATTCCACAAAGCGGTCACCCATTGGTTTCTTCAATGTACAACAGGCCACATTAGGTGCAGGGAATACAATACACAAGATTGGAGGAGGTATAGGTGAAATGTTGCTTCACCTGAAAGACTGTTTAGGCCCTTGGATGTTGAGCAGGCTCAACATGGTGAAGGGGCAGGTGTTGCACCTTCTGCGGTTACATGGGAAGGTGCCATGGAGAGGGTGGGGGTGGTGTTGGTGGTTGTGGAATGGACTAGGGTGTCCTGGAGGGAATGATCCTGCAAAATGCAGACAGGGGGAGTGAGGGAAGATGTGCTTGGTGGCGGTACTCTGCTGCAGTTGTCTAAATGAATGAGAATGATTGTTTGAATGTAGAGGTTACAGGGATGAAAAGTGAGGACAAGGGGAACCTGATCACGCTGTTGAGAGTGTTGGGAAGGGGCAAAGGCAGAAGCATGGGCGATAGGTTTGATGCAGTTGAGGGTCCTGTCAACCACCATGGGCAGGAAACCACAGTCATGGAAGAAGCAAGCCGTGTCGACAGCGCTGCTTTGGAAGGTGGCATCACCTGAACAGATACAATGTAGGAGATGGACCAGGGATGGAGTCCTTGCAGGACGTGGGGTGTGATGAGTTGTGGTGAAGGAATATTGTGATCATTTTTGTGCCCCATATCTAAAGAAGAAAATGCTGGCATTGGAGGGGTTCCAGAGGAGGTTCACAAGAATTATCCAAAGAATGAACAGTCTGTCACATAAGGAGTGGAGGAGGACTCTGCGTCTGTATTCAATGGAGTTTAGAAGAAAGAGGGAGATCTCATTGAAACTTAGAATACTGAGAGGCATGGATAGAGTGGACATGGAGAAGATGTTTCCACTAGCAGGAGAGACTAGATCCCAAGGGCACAGACTCAGATCCTTTGGAACTGAGATGAGGAGGAATTTCTTCAGCCAGACAGCAGTGAAACTATGAAACTGATTATTACAGAGGGCTGCAAAGGCCATGTCATTGAGTGTATTTTAGACGGAGATAGATAGATCTTGATTAGTAAGGGGATTAAAGGTTATCAGGAGATTGTAGAAGACTGGGGTTAAGAAACATATAGCCATGATCGAATGACAGATCAGACTCAGTTGTCCAAATGGCCTAATTCTGCTCCTATATATTCGAGTCTTTAATAAAGATGGATTTAGTCACTTGACTTTAGTTTGCACAACTAATCAATTACTGGTGACTTGACTGTAAATTTGGTGACACTTTAACACAGCAGATGGTCTGTACACCAGTTCTGAAAAAGAATTAAGGGTCACTCACAACTTACTTCGGAAAAAAGGGAGCCAATTTCTTTACACACAATCAGAAAGGCTATTGTTTTAATTTCCCATACAAGAAGGTGTTTGTGTTTTGTTTAAAAATAGTGAATTTGATAATAAAAAAATCAACAAAATTTAATCTTTACTGCCTTTATTAGGAAATTTTAGAGTTTCTATGGAAAGGGGAAATGCCTTTCAGTAAAGAATCCATTGTACTCAAACCTCTCTCACCTAGGGGTGGACTGCAGGCATCAGAAGCTCGTGTATATCTAGGAGTGTCTTCCTCCAGCAGGCGGTGAGTAACTAGCTCACGACAATTCTGCAACAGCACTGGCTGTGTGTCACCTCCAATTCCTTCCAAACGTCTTGCAATTCTCTCTTTCCTGCACAGAATAGTTTTGAGAGTTGAAAACATTGTAAAAGCTATAGCCTATGAAAACTATTTCAGTAAGTAATCCACTAAGAAAAAAAAGTGTGCAGAAAACTCAAATTGCTCAATTATTCCAACAGTGCGTTACTTACAAAAAGTGTAAAAAAGTTTTTAGCATTTTAGTTATTCCACCCAAAACTAAACATCATTTAAATTCCCCTAATACCTGTTCATTTCCACAGTGGATTTTTGGCCAGCTTCAAAAAGTTTTCGAAGTTCTGAAACTAAGAAATAGTAATTCTTAAAAGCATGTCAGAATGCAAGTGCTTTCCACAACAGACTTTCATGAACATTTTGATCAATTTACAAGTGCAAGTGCATAAGTGGAGGAGGACTCTGCGTCTGTATTCAATGGAGTTTAGAAGGAAGAGGGAGATCTCATTGAAACTTACAGAATACTGAGAGGCATGGATAGAGTGGACATGGAGAAAATGTTTCCACTAGCAGGAGAGACTAGGTCATAGGCAAGTGCATAATTCAGAATCATCTTGACCTTTTAATTTACTTGTGAGGTTGTTCCAACGAAACAAGCACATCAGGTAAATTATGAGATGTTTTTAAAAAAATGCTTCATCTTTCTGTGAGCAATACAAAAATCAATTATTTAGAACAATTTCTCTATTAACATTCCAAAAACATTTCTTATTGCAACCCAAATCCTTTCCTCACTGAAAATCTCAGATAATCCTGAGATTTTGACCCAAAGACACTGAAGGAACGGCGATGCATTTCCAAGTCCAGCTGGTGAGGGGATTGGGAGGGGAATTTGCCAAAGATACAGGTCTAGTCTCCTCAATCTCTCCCCATTAAATAGGCCCACCATCCCAGGAGTTAGTCTCATGACCATTGCAAGGTACATTCTTCCTTATTTATGGGGACCAAAAGCAAACAATACTGTAGATATTCTTCCACTTATTACTTCATCTGACAATGCAACATTCCCCAATTTAGGGCTGAAGTGCCAACCTTGATCTATTTGCTCCAATCTCTGGAGTTCAGCTCAAACCCAAAACCTTCAAGTTCCCACAAAACATCACAACAGTTTGTATCAGCTCAAGGCTAAATTTCTCAAACTCTCCTAGCTGACCACCTCACCTGCAACCTTTAAGTAGTGTAATTCATCCAGAATACTGCAGTTTTCTTACCCACTTGAAGACTCTTAATTCTACTATCATGGCCCTTACCAAATCTGTACATGGGCTCATCTTGTCCTACCTCAGTTGATTCCTGCAGCCCTAGGCCCAGCTTTTTATTTCCACTCCTCTGACATTAAATTTACTTATCAAGTTTTCTTCGATGGCAATGGTGCAGACCAGTCTTCAGTCACCATCCCCAAAGCCTTCCAAACTCAGAACTCTTGTCTAATGTACTCGGGTATTTTTAAGAGAAATTAACAGAAATTAACCTACTGGACCATTCAATAGGCTGTAGGTAAATATCCAAACTTTTGGTCATACTCCCATTTTATTCACCCAAGCCAACAACAAAGGACAATTCAGAGAGATATCTGAACCATTATGCAAACCACATTTGGAAAAAAAATACAGATTCCCAACAGTTAGTTCTTTTTACCATATAAGTGCAGTATAAATACAAAAACATTCTTTAAAAAAAGCACACCATGTCCAACATTTCTGAAAAATAGATTTCGTTGATGGAAAATGCTCAACAGCCTTGGAATGGAATAACAGGCAGAATGATGATATTATTCGCTCTCCGTTTTCTTTGTCAGACTTAGTTTGCCAGACTTGGCATTTGACACCTCCATTGTCCAAACTGCATTTTGACTCGTATTTACTGTTTGCACTAATCTTGGTCAAATTTGTACTGTAAAATAATCATTCTACATAAAGTTCCTACAGTGACAGTGGGTCTAATTGTGTGTAAAAGCAGTTCAGAGAGTCAGATCCAATTGCAATTATTGTAATATAATGTTAAAAATACTTGTTTGCATAGTCAAAATGTTTTGTTTTTAAAGAATAACATTTTTATCAGATTTCTTATGTTTAATGTATTCAAAATTGAAATTCAACGTCAGCTTCATTTTTAAAATAAGCTTTTTGGAAGTTTCAAGGAATTCAATACTCCAGACAGTTACCCCAGTTTCTCAAAAAAAAAAATTCTACTTTAATTCAAAACGTGATTTAGCATCAACTTCACTACAGCTCCTGGTCACGCAGGAGCATTATGTAGTGAATTATTTCATATTTTAAGCTGTAGTAAATGTTTCCAAAATCCAGAATAATTTATCTATTGTACTGTAGCAAAGAGTAAATTTTTAAATGAAATAAGATAGCTTGATTCCTTTCTACCTATTTGAAATGAGAAAATCACTTGCAACGGCATTTCTTTCTGCTTTTGCACGGTTATCTCTGGTGACCCCAAGAGTCAATTGATGGATGTCTCCATTTCTCAAACAAATAGCATCAGTTTTCACATGTATGCTGACATCAGCTCCAGCTCACCCCATTCTTTTTTGACTCTTGCTAACTCATCAGAGTACTTAGCTGACATCCAGTACCAGATGAACCATTTTGCCCTATCAAGTACTGGGAAGATCTAAGCAATTGTTTTCAATCCTTGCCTCAAACTCCATTCCCTAGCTCCCAACTCAATTCTTTGCCCCGGCAAAGTCCGATATTAAGCCCATCTGTTTTCAATTATGGGATCATGTCTGATCTGGAGAGGAGCTTCTGGCCTCTTACTCGTCATCTCCGAGACTGCCTACTGCCTCTGCAACGTCACTTGACTTTATCCTTGTCTCAGCTGATCTGATGCTGAACCCCTCAGTCACTGCTTTATTACCTCAAAACTTCACTATTCCACCACAACCCCAGTCAATTTACCACATTCAACACTTTCTAAACTTGAGGTCATCCAAAGCTCTGCTGCCAGTGTCCTAACTCGCAGCGAGTCCTGTTCCCCAATCATCCCTGTACTTGGTATGCTGACTCCCAGTCAAACAATACCTTGGTATTAAAAGTCCCTTCCTGATTTTATAAATCAGTCAACTGTCATGTCCCTTCCCATCTCTGTATTATCTTCCATCCTCAAAAACTCGTATCTTTGGCATTCCCTATTATGATTGTGCCTTGGATGGTGACCATGCCTTCAATTACCATTGCCCCAAGCTCTGGAATTATCACTCTATACCTCTCTGCCTCACTTTCCTACTTTTAAGATGCTTCTTAAAATCCAGGGGATTGGTCTGATCTAACTTCCGTGTGGCACGGCGGCATACCTTGTTCTACACTCTTTTTGAAACTTTCACAGAATGAGGGCATTGCTGGAAAGGGTCTGTTGGCCATCACCAACCGCCTTGAATTCAGTGACTTGTTAGGCCCCACATTGTTCAGAGTCTGGAGTCACATGCAGACCAGACCAGAAATGAATAACAGATTTGCTTCCCTAACACACATTAGTTAACCAGATGAGTTTTTAAAAACAATGATAGTTTTATGACTCAAATTACCAAGACCAGCTTCCAACTGCAGATTTATTAAATAAATTTAAATTCTAACAGCTGCACGTTGGGATCTGAACCGATGGATTTACAACATCAGCCTGAGCCTCTGATCACTTGTCCTGAACTATAAAACTCCCATGATTGCCTTGGGATGTTTCATTATGTTACAAAACACTCTCAACGGCAAGTATCAGGAGCAGGAGTTGGTCTTTTAGCCCCTTGAGCCTGCTCCATCATTCAATAACATCATGGCTAATAGGATTGTGGCCTTGATTCCATTTTTGTGGCTGATCTCATAATCCTCGGCTTCCTCACTGAATATATGAAAGGCAAAGTTCAATAGTTTTTTGGTCAATGTCCTAGGTTCCACTGCCCTCTGGGCAGAAGATTCTACAGACTAACAAAGTTTAGAATGTCTGCTTTCTCATCTTGGCCTTAAATGGGAGACTCCTAATTTTTAAACTTTGTTCCTTAGTTCTAGAATGTCCACAAGGGGCAATATCTTCTCAACATGTAACCTTTCAAATTCCCTTAGGATCTCATGTTTCAATCTCATATTTCCTCTTTTATTCTTCTAAACTCCAACCTGCTTAATCTTTCCTCACATGATAACTCTTTCATCCCAAAAATCTAAGTGAACCTTCTCTGAACTGCTTCTACTGCTAATATATCCTTTAGGTAAAGAACCAAATCTGTACACAATGCTGCAGTAGTAGTCAAACCAAGGTCTTGCACAGCTATAGCAAAGCTTACTTATATTTACAATCTATTGTCCTTGCAAACAACATAAATATTCCATTTAACAAACAAAAACAGAAATTGCTGGCAATGCACAGTGGGTCTGGCAGAATCTGTGGAGACAAATCAGAGTTAACGTTTTGGGTCCAGTGACCCTTCCTCAGTTCTGGAAGAATCATTTTTCACTGAGGTTACCAGGGTGAGGAATACTTAACTTCAAATTGTTCCAGAGGCTTTGACCAATATGATTCAAAAGAAGATTAGAATAATGAAGATATGGAGAAAGGCAGCAAAATCAGTTTTGAGTGGAATATTTGCATCTGCTTGCTGCCCCTGAATGGCATCATTCAAAAACACGGCATAATCTTCTATATGCACACTGGTTTCAAGGAGCTATATTTCAACACCACCTCTCTTAATTCCTTGATATCTTTTACTCTACTCTCTGCTTCTTTTCATGTAGCACTGGATAAGATGAGGCTCTCTTGAACTGAGTTTCCATTCCTATATCCTCTGCATCAGCAAGACTGACTGCACTTCCCTCCATCAATCAGAACATCATGCTGCCATACTTGAATCATAATTGAATTTTACTTGTCGAGGTACAGTGACTGACACTTCCAACATAAATAATTTCTTGCATAGTACAAATAAATCTTTTAAAAGCATTTGTGTAGAAAGGCTGCACTACACAACTTCCAAATGCATTAAAACACTGAAGGGGAAAGTGCACTCTCATGACCATGGGGATTATCATCTAATATTAAACTTCAGAACAGCAGCAACATCAAAATTACTGGTAGGCCTCAATTATTGATGATAGTTCATCATCTTTCACTAAATCCTAATCCTATTTGAATCAGATAGGAGTGTCATTTTCCTGTGGAGAAAACAAAGAGTGCTTGGGGTGGTAAAGAAGAAGAAGGGAGAGAAGAGAGTGGGATTTCAGTTACATTATGATGGCTCCAGTTTCTTCATTGTTAGGAAGGAGCAGGCCATGCAGGCAGGAACTTGAATCTAAGCATTTAACACACAGGCTCACCCCTCTCTTACAACCCTGTGGAGCCTGCTGGAAAGTGTGCGTGGAAGTCATTATCTGTGGAGGTGGCACAGAATTTGTACAATGAAAATCCCAGTAGGAAATTAAACCACTGCTTCATTATTGTGCATTCTCCAAAGACTTAGTTTGGGATTATGTTCAAAAGTGACTGGTTGGACCGAAGGGTCCGTTTCTGTGCTGTATAACTCTATGAGAGTGTGCAAGGATTGTAACAAGGTCAGCCAGCTGGACCACAGATTATGGGTTCCCTGATTGGACCAGATTAACAGTCCCAATCCAGGTAGCCTTGGATGACATATAAAAAGGATGAGTGTCAGTGATACTGACACTCTGGTACCTGACTCTGGATGAGGCAGTACTATCGACAAAGACTGCTCATATGTAAATAAAAAGAGTGACTTGGTGACGGGATACTGGCCTCTGTAAAGTTACTTCACTACTGTGCTAAACTACGCAATGTAAAATTCTGGAGTATAGGCTACATCAGTTATTTCCATATCAGTTCAACTTACCAAATACAATGCCCTCTGATTCAAAACAAGTAGTGTTATTTAATGAATACATACAGATACATTCATGGGGCAGACTTTCAGGTGCTAAACAACTGGAAACTTTGATGTCAAAGCAGTTGTGACATGAGCAAAATTAACCTTAGCCTGTATCCAGTGGAAAAAATGGTAGCCATATATAATTTGTCGTAGGCCTTTGCATTGTTTGAAACTTCTAGAATTGTGCAGCACGAGTAGAGCATCTGAATAGTGAAAACAATATTCCATTGTGGCAGTAAGAAAAATTTTCTGAAGCCAATTGAAAAGGGCCAAAAAGGAGATCGAGTTTTAAAATGCTGCGAGGGCTGTTTTGCTAAAATTTAAAATCAAAAGTAGGTGATCCAAAATAAGAGCTTGCTGTTTACTGATAGTGCTCAGTGTGAAAGGGCATGCTGTAATATTACAGTTCACCTCAGGCACATCGTGTCGAGTGTAGAATTCCAGCTCGTGTCTTAGCCCATTTAAGATCATTTGTTTCCATTAGCTTTATGTACTCTCTATTGCAGGAATCTTTTTGGACTAGTCAGGAAAGGCTTCAAGGTGGGACCAAGAGGAACTCAGAGAAATATGCTTCTGCTCAGTGGCCCAATGCATTCCCATTTGCAGGTGATCTTCCTGGAAGTGGGTCAGAAATAACAGAGTCTACTGGCATTGTCATTCTGCATAATTAAGTCCAACTATGGGCTGATTTGGCACCCTAGAAGATGGACCCCTACATTGAGGCCCAAGCCAGGCAAAATCATCTGCAGACAGGAACACATTGAGCCACTGAGCAGAATCATACCTCCAAGTTCCTCGCGGTGCCACCTTGAAGCCTTCCCTGACTAGTCTCGAAATGGCTTGCCAGTCGTCAACCGGCCAGAGCTGTAGCCACTGATCTTCCTAAGGAGGGATGACTTCTTTACAGAGCTAACGTGGTAGCTATGGTGACAGCTTACATACAAACAGACGAGTTAGGGGCAATAGCAGGTCATTTGTTTCCGCCACTTACACCATTATTTGACAAGATCTTGGTTGCTCTGATGTTACCCTGAACTCCGCATACCCATCTAGCCCAGGTAATCTTACATATTCCCACCAGCCTGCTCCCCCCCAACCCCTTGTTTACCAAGAATCTACCCAACTCTGTCTTAAAATAATTAAAGACTTGCTTCCATCGCCTTTTGGAGGGAGAGAGTTCCAAAGGGATACTACCTTCTGAAAGAAATAATTCCACCTTATCTTTATTTTAAACAGGTTACCCATAACTTTACCCACAAGAAGAGACATCATCTCCACATCCACTCTCTAAAGCTTTCTTATGATCCTGTCTGTTCTATCTCTTACAAGTCTAAACTCCAGCAGATCCAAGTCTGGCCTGTCCTTCAGAAGACAACTCACCTATTCTAGATACATCGCTAGTAAACTTACTCTGAATTGCCTCCAATGCATTTGCATCCTTCCTTAAATAAAGGTGACTAATACTGTACATGGTACTCCAGATGCGGTTTCACCAGTGCCTTATTCGATGGTGCCTCTACCTCTGGTGGTGGGCCTGGTGACTTTCCAAAGTTTGAGTTGCTCGGATTAGGCCTGCAACCTTAGCAACTGGATGGCAGACCCAGAGATAGCCTCTTAGATGGCTACCTTTGGAAAGATCTCCGAAGCGTGCACATTGACTGTCAACATGTGGGTCAAGACCTGGAAATGGTCCCACCATGTGGTTACTTTTAAACATTATAAAATTCTTCCATATATGGGGAGCATATGTTTAATTGTTGATATACCATATCTTTCTTATTAATTATGGCCTTGCATGTTTCGTAAAGGTGTTTCTATCAGCACTCTAAACTGCTGTGAAATTTGTTAAAAGGAAAAACCAACAATTGGAATGACTCTGATTAATGTAACTGTTTCTGTAACTGTGGACTTTGTCCCAGGCATTTGCACTGGACATGTGGATGGAAATTTATTAATGCAGTAGTACAGTTTGAGATTTTACAGTAACAGTATTAGGAAAACCAAGTGTAGCACTGCTCACATAGATTGAATATGCATGTGAGAAAAAGACAAATGTGCAGTTTCCTCAACCTATCAAAAAAAGGCTATTTTGTTACCATAAATACCAACATCCCAAATGTATATTTCAGGATACAACATGAATTTTTCAAAAGATGCAGGATTCTGCAACACTACCATCTGTAGTTGATTGGGATGTGAAAAATAAAAAAAAATCCATAACTAATTTATGTACATTTTTTTCCAATAAATATTCATAGTCTGGCAGCCCTCAAACATAACTTTAATCAAATTCATCTCTGTGGATTTTATCTAGTTCACAATTAACTGCCCCTCTTCCAAGGACTGTTGATCTTAATAATCAAAGCATATTGATTGCTTTGATACAGTTAAACAAGCTTGGTTCCTTCAAAGAAACAATATTACTAACCTTTAGGAAGTACAGCAAGTAAATTAGTGTCAATCTCCTTTGTTTTCTTGGCAATTTCTTTATCTTCAAATGTAAACTCCTTTTGAAAACTAAAATGAGAAGAAAAGGGTCTCATTTTGGTACCTGTAATAACTTCCCATTTTGAATCCACCATCTGTACTATCAAATTGGTTTGTTTCTTTGCAAGCATATAACACTCAAAAGCAAATCAGTTTGTTCAACGAGTAAGTGAGACATACAGATGGTTAAAATTTCCAGCTCAACTCCTGTCTTGTATCGCCATACTGTATTGATTTCAATAAACAGAAATGTTATAATTGGTCTGGATGCAGGAGGAAATATCCAGCAAAAGCTCCCAATTATTACCAGCTGGTAACTCTTCCTGAAAGTGATGTGTTGCTATTGCAGCGTGTGGAAGCAATACTGGTTGCAGTAGCTTTCACCATTACCATAATTAATAACTGCTGTCAAGACTTACACATTAGTAAATAACACTTGAGCATAATATTTGTGTGCCCTGTACCCATAACTTTGTCCTCTGTGAGAAGCCAATATTTTGAACTATTACATAATAATAATGCTGAGGAAAAAGCACTTTTTGATGTGAACATACATCTTTGTTGCAAGCAAATACATTGTATACACAAGTTAAATTTGACTAATATTTTTTGATGACAGGAGCATCTAATGGTTAGTTTAGGTAGTTCCAACCCTCAGTAACAAGCAATACAAAGGATATGCATACTTTGATATCCAAAAATGATTACAATTTTGCAAACACAGAATATGTTGGAAAAAACATACAGGAGAATATGAATATACCTTAGAAATTACCTTCATATGATTGTGGTACTCAAAATCAATGAGACAATTTTACTTCACGAATTCTTTGAGGAGGCAATGAGCAAGTTAGACAAAAAGAGTTAGTGGGTGCGACCTATTTCAATTTCCAGAAGGCCTTCGACAAAGTCCACATAGAAGGCTGCTAAGAAAGAGCGAATGGTGTAAGGGGCAAGGTGCTTTCCTTGATAGAGGATTGACAGACTGGTGACAAGCTTGGAGTGGTGATAATGGGGGTCTTTTAAAGAACAGCTGCTGGTGACTAATGGAGTTCCACAGGGGCCTGTGTTGGGACCTCAACCATTCACATTATGCATTAACAATGTAGATGAAAGAACTGAGGGCATTGTTGCTAAATTTGCAGATGACACAAAGATAGGTGGAGGGACAGACAGTGCTGAGGAAGCAGGGAGGCTGGAGAAGGACTTGGTGTGCTTTAGAGTGGACAAAGAAGTGGCAAATGGAAAACAATGTGGGAAAGTGTAAGGTTACACACTAGTAGGAAGAAGTAGCATTGACTATTTTCTAAATGGGGAAAGACTTCAGAAATCTGTAGTATAAAGGGATTTGGGTGCCCTAAGGGGAAACTCTGTCACGCAGAGGGTGGTGTGTGCTTGGAATGAGCTGCCAGAGGAACTGGTGGAGGCTGGAAAATTACAACATTTAAAGACATCTGGATGGGTAGATGAATAGGAAGGGTTTAGAGGGGTATGGGCCAAAGGCTGGCAAATGCGACTAGATTAATTTAGGATATCTCGTCGGTATGGATGAATTAGACTGAAGGGTCTGTTTCCAAGCTGCACAGCTCTCTGCCTCCATGACTCTCTAACACTAAAATAGAAACAAAGTGCTGGAGAAACCCAAAAGATCACGCACATCCCTTTCAACTCTTGCACCTGAATTAGCATTCACTGTGCTAAATAATTGTTCAAGAAGTTACTCTCTATAAGCTAAATAATGGAGTAGCTAAGTGTTGATAACTTAAAACTTATTACACTGTACAGCGATCCTATGATTTCCCTTTAAAAAACAACTACATTTCAAAGTACTTCAACTTCGGCAAAACATTTTTCACTTCTTGATAATACAGAAAGTGCTACATGAGTGCAATATATTCCTTTCCTTTCTTTCTTTCTTTCTTTTCACAGTGGGCTGTTCCTTCAACCTCTTCTCCTTATCCACACATCACAAGCTCCCCTGGCTTTTTGTAACTCAATGAGCTAATACTTTAAACTATCTTTGAATCCATTCCATTGCCTTTGCTTAATGAGCGAAACTGAAATATACGCTACAAGTGATCTCAATGTTTTACTATGTTGGTATCATTCCTCAGAGTCCACACAGTCAAGTAAGTTTGCTCCTGCATTCACTGTGACAAGACAAACTTCCAATCTGGGGCGCAGTTGTCCAAAAATTATGCTTGAAAAGTTAAATGACTATTCTGTCAAGAGCAATTCAGCTTACTGTGGAGAGACAGCTAAAACCAATGAGGCTAAAAATGGGAGGTCATTTACCTTTTGTGTATCCAAGATAATCATTGCGCACAGAGTACCTGCAACTGCTGGCATCTGAAGTCAAGATTTATGAACTTGAGAAGCAGTTAATACTCCAAATATGACTGATGATTCTTGAATTTTAATTCCAGAAGTGAGCAAGTTAGAGGAGACAGTATTTTTTATTCGCTCATGGGAATAAATAAATCTATTTATTGTCCATCCCTAGTTGCCTTTGCACTGAGCTGCTTGCTAGACCATTTGAAAGGGCAGTTGAGAGTCAACCACATTGCTGTGGATTTGGAGTCACATCTAGGCAAGGCCAGGTGAGGATAGCAGAATTCTTTCCATTAGCAAACAAGACTTGTTTTTCCAACAATTGACGATAGTTTCATGGTCATCAGTAGACTTTTAATTCCTGATTATTATTGAATTCAAAATGACGGGATTTGAACCCAGGCCCCCAGAACATTAGCTGAGTTTCTGGATTAATAGTCTAGCAATAATACCACTAGGCTATCACCTCCCCGGTGACACTCAGTGGTATAGGAAGTGGTTACTGGTAGCAGTGCGGGAATCTACAGACTGTTGGATTGGTTAAATAAGTACTCAGCACCAGCATTAAAGCTCTAAACAGCCACTCTGAGGCACAGTGGACAAAGGTTGTGACCTGTGAAAGAGAAAACAGAGTTAACATTTCGGGTCCGGTGACCCTTCCTCAGAACTGACGGTGGCTGGGAAAATGTCAGTTT